CATCACAACATGACCGGGACACCATCAAAACATGACCCGGACACCGTATGACACCGTGACATGACCCGGACACCATCAAAACACGACCGGGGCACCATTAAAACATGCCCGGGACACCATCACAACATGACCGGGACACCATCACAACATGACCGGGACACCTTCAAAACATGACCGGGACACCATCCGCCCACCAGCTCTGACGGTGACCCGACGGCGCCCGTCCGCCCATTAGTTTTGCAAGACCCCATAGCATGGCTATTGGGGAACAACAATGAAAAGGTTATTATCCTGTCCCAGCATCAGGCCAAAGCATGCCGATGGTCGCGAACATGCAAATCCTGCCATGCTTCAGCTCTACAGCCCGTCGGCGGTCGAAATCCTCTTTGGTGCAGTCTCCGCCACAGTAGCCAATAGGATCCCAGAACAGAAGTGGGTCACAGGCCCCGATCTCGTTGGAGGCATCGTAGGCACAACGCACCACTGCAGCTCTGGTGCTGGGCCGGGCCACAGACATGGCTACGAGGCCAGCGACGCCCACAGCCCCAACCGCGCCCAGGGTTCCTGTGGACCTCTGCTCCACACTGGAGGTGCCCCTCAGAGCTTGTCTGGGTGCACCTGCAGGTGCTACGAAGGCAGAGGCTGCCATCAAAGCGGCGCCTGCGGTGGCAGCAGCGGAGATCTTGGACATGGCAGGCATGTCTTTAAATAATTGTGACAAGCTTGTCTAATCAAAAATATCGGCCGCGCGGAAGCGTGCCGGAGCCAAAAGGCTTCAGGTTGTGAAGTTGATGGTACCATTTTTTTTCCAGTACTGATTTGTCTGTAGCCACTTTACCAAACATCTGTCAGCAGTCGGCATCAAACACCAAATTCAGCACACGACTAGGGCGATCCGACCACAGCTGGCAGGCCCGTCTTGCGCACGGTCTTACGCACCCGTGCCACAAGCCTACAATGTACTACAATGTGTATACTATAGTACATCGCGTGGTTCCAGCCTCACCCACTATGGACAAAAGCGAAGGAGCAACCTTTTGCATCCGTTCTGGAGCAAAACTGGCTGACAATAAAAGAGTCATTCAGCAAAATGAAGTGAAATACGTACAAGTATATACGGTGTGCGTGTGTGTGTTGTTGTACAAAACATGTTCTGTTAAAAGTATCAAGCGCACTCGGGGACCCGAGGTGTTCCAAAAAAAATGTTTGATCATGAGCGCTCTGTTTCTCCCCGTCTATACAATTTGTTTTGAATCAGGAACCCCTAGTTCAAAAGCCAGGCCCGAAACTCTACTAAGCATATCAATATAAGTTTCAGATCAACAACGGATCTTTAATACGGCCTTCAAACAGAAAAATGCTGATATCATAAAAGTTGTGAAGCCACGCTCGACAACACAATACAGCAGTAAAAGGTGGAAAAAGGCACTACCAGCAAGTCAGCGGAAGATAAGCATTTCAATTCGTCAGCCGTCCACTGCTCAAAAAAAAAAGGGTAGCCGGGAAAGGTTTCTTTGCGTGTCGCTGTGCTTGAAAGCAGCTGGCACAAACAAATCCTGAGGGCATCGCGTTTGGAACAATTATGCCAGAATAGACCCGAGATAACAAAACTAAGCCACGTGGCATCCTGCAGCTTCACCAGCACACAGACTCCAAAGGGCAAACGGCCACAAACACCTCGCAGCACCCTGCAGCACCCGGCAACCAAGCCAGCATCCAAGCTCCAAAGCGCACGCGGCCGTACGCATCTGGCAGCGGGACTTTGCGCCTGCACCCTGCAGCGGCGCGAGCACCCAGTCTCCAAGCACACAGCCCTAGGCATCTGGCAGCGGCACCCTGCAGCGGCACCAGCCCCCGTGTCGTAGACATTTGGCAGCGGCACCCTGCATCAGCACACAGGCTCCAAAGGGCACACAGGCACCTTTTCCTGAACTTGAAGTAAGA